TTCCCTTCCCCTTCCTCTTCTTCTTCTTCCTTTTCTTTCCCTCCTCTTTCTCCTCTTTCTTCCCCTCTCCCTACCTCCTCTTTCTCCTTTTTGCTGCTAATTACAGCATTCTGAAAGACTTCCAGTTTTACTTTTACAGTTATTTGGCCACAACAAGCTCATATAATTTATAAGTGACCCTGATTTCTTAGGATTTAATTTTCATACCTGGCAAATTGTTTATTAATGTAATGAATATTTTATGCATATTATATTTAACAATCAGTGAGGTATTTCAGTTAAGTATTCACTTTAATTTCATAGTGCTCTTTTGATGTTTTGGAATGAATAATTTGTTCTTTAGGGTTTTGCATATTTGCCTCATTAGAAGTTTGTAATCCTTACACTGCACTGCTGTGCTATGGATTCCCACAGCTAGAGAACTCCTACTACTAGAGGATTCCTGCTGTGAGTTCCAAAGTTCTGTTTGCCTTAGATGGCCTCAGATCTTCCCAAGGGAGGAACTTCTTATGATTTTGATCTCAGTCTAAATCTCAAGAAGATTTTCTTGGGCAATCACTAGAAAACAGCTATCCAGTCATGGTATCTTATTTCTACTATGCTGCTTATAGCTAGATGATATTATTCTTATACTAGCATCTAGAATATGTTAAAGAGCATTATTCTGAATCTACTGATTTACTGATATCAGTCTAGGAACCCATGGGTCCATAGATTGTCCATCCTCACTGGAATTTAATGCCAGGCAGCCTAAGATTTGCTTTATATCCTAGTCCTCCATGATATATATATATATATAGTGAGTTAATGCTAAATCCCTTTATGACCTGGAATAAGTGGTTTATCAATCTGGGCCCTTGGGTCTTCCCAGTAAAACTAGCTCAGTCATCTACATTTGTTTTCTTGGATGCTATAACAAATGACCACAAACTTAGTGACTGAATGCAAGTGTGTCATAGTTCTGAAGATCAAGAAGTCTGAGATGGGCCTGGGTGTGCATTATAATAACAATTTGTCAGATATGAGAATTAAATCCTGGGGCCCAGGGAGATGGCTCAGTGGAATAAGCGCTTCCCTGGCAAGTGCAAGGGCCTGTGTTCAATCCCTGGTTCCGCAAAAAGAAAAAAAAGAATTAAATCCTAATTCTATCATCTAGTTATAATATAATAATATCACCTAGTTATACCCATGCACATATGTACTGCATATATATGCATATTGAAAAATTTTTGTGGAATAAATAAAATGATAAGTATGATTTCTATAGCTACCCTACCATTTTATTTTAATTTTTAAAAGTTTTTTTTATTTTTTAAAGAAAGAAAAATGAAAACAAACACTGGAAACAATACAACATTTCATTAAACAAATAGAAGCATGACAATGGTTGTTGTGTTGCATAATGCTATCTTCAAGTTAGTTGTTTAGGTTGCCAGATATAAACCTGCAAAATTGGCTAAAAAAAGTTATAAGAAATTAAAAAGAAGAGGGGCCGGGGAGATAGCTCAGTGGAATAAGAAATTAAAAAGAAGAAAAATAAATAAATAATTTTTTAAAAAGAATTCTTAACTTCTTTCAGTAGACTAGCAGAAATCAGCAGTGTAATTATCCATGCTATCCTGAGCATATACATAGATATATATTTTTCCCTTCTTTCTTTTGTTCTTTTCTTCATTCCAGTTTTTCCTTCCCACTGAATAGATTCTTTCCCTTTCATGATAAGATCATATATAATTTTTGTCAAAAGGAAATCATTGGGTTTTTAAATTAATTTTATTGAGAAAAAATTGCAATGTGACAGCTTCAAAACAGGTTAGTAGGAGAGTTACAACAATTGTATATTGTTGTCTTTGTAGTAGTCATTCATAGCACAAGATGCAGACATGATATCCTATCCAAACACTGTTAGTACAGATCTTTTTTCTTACTAAATTAAGAGAAAGTAGCTATATATCTATCTTAACTATTTTGCATATATAGATACAAAATTATCCTTCATTTATATCACCTTTTTTTGTTCAGTTTTGTCCGAAATGGGTGGCTTGAGAGAAACAGGTAGGATGATGTCTCCCTCTCCAAGAGATGCTGACATCTTAATGCATAACACCTGTGAGTATATTAAAAGAATTCCAGAGAGAATTAAGATAACTAACCAGCTGATCCTGCAATGAGACTTCCTGATTTATCTAGTGGGCATCAGGGTCCCTTAATGTCTCAGAGGGGAGGCAAAGAGGTCAGAATAGTGTGGTACAAGAACTCCTCCAACCACTGCTGGCTTTAAAGATGAACAAAGGGTAAGGCCAGAGTGCAGGAGACTTCAAAGAACTGGAAGAAAAAGCAATGGACCCAACTGTTTTTCTGAGCACACCCAGACCCATCTCAGACTTCTTGACCTCCAGAACTATGACACACTTGCATTCAGACACTAAGTTTGTGGTCATTTGTTACAGCATCCAAGAAAGCAAATGTAGATGACTGAGCCAGTTTTACTGGGAAGACTCAGGGGTCCGGATTGATAAACCACTTATTCCAAGTCATAAAGGGATTTAGCATTAGCTCACACTAGATTTCAATTAGTCAGAGCTATATCTGTTACTACACTTAGCATCTGTTCCAGTTATCTGTTGCTTCATAGCCATCCAACCCAAAATTCAGTGTCTTAAAACAATGCTCTTCTCTTTCATGGATCTGTGGTGTTGACCTAAACAGCACATAGAGTGAGATTCTCTGAAGATGAAGTTTGCATGGAAGAGCAGAGCACTGCAGTGGGACTCTCTGTCATAGTAAGCTGCATGCTCATTCAAGGACATGGAGACCAGAGACATTTTAAGGGAGAAATGAAGATGATTGTATAAAACATTTTGAAACAATACTCTCTGGCTATAGAATTTAGTAATGAGGGTAGCATTGGTCCAAGATTAAATACATTTGTGGGGAAGACGTCCTTGAAGATGAATGGGCTGTGTAGCATTGCACCAGTCTAGGGTGGTCATTTCAGAGACCACTCCTGCTGTTGTGCAAGCTTGTGTTTCTTATAGTGTATTGGAGGCTGTTCTCATTGGGTATGCGTCTTGGTTACTTTTCTCTCATTGCTGAGACAAAATACCTGACACGCAAAATGAAGGAAGAAAAGGCTTATTTAGCTCAAAATTTGTGGAGGGTTCAGTCCATAACTGGCTGGCTCCAAGGCAGAGTGGCACATGGTAGAGGGCAGCAGTTCATGGGGGCAGAAAGCAGCAAAACAACAAGAGCAAAGAGGGAGGAGCAGCGGCAGAGAGCAAGCCTCTCTCCCTTCCTTACTGTGCTGGATTGGCTGAGGGGTAGCGGGTAATCAGGAGCAGGGAGCCAGCCAGCTGGGGCACCAGTGTTCCCAGTTGGTTCTAGGACTTCTTCCCAGGCCCTTGGTATCCTGAACAAAGAATTGGACGGGACACACAGAAAAAGCACAGAGGTTGTACATGAACTGGAGGTGGAAAAGAAGTATGCTCCACAGTGTGAGGGCCGGCTGGTGAGAGACTCACAGTGGCCCTGGGATGAGGTAAATAGGTTTGGGTCTGAAATTCCTGGATTGATGTCCTCCTTCACACAAATAAAGCTTTGGAACTCCAGTGCCATCAAAAGGTTGGTGTGACCCCAGATTTAAACTTCTATGGAAGGACAGATGTAAAGAGAAGACTGAAATTAGCTCGATTCTCAGACATCATGCAGCCAAAGAGTAACTTGGGGATGTAGCGCGGTCTAGGGTGGTCCTTTCAGAGACCTCACCTGCTGATCATCGCATGGAATTCTGGGAAGAGATTAGCTTGGGGGAGTTTATTGTAAGGTAGCTGAAATCACTGTGTTTTTAAAAGAAAAAAAACCAAAAACATGAAAATAGCACTATTCTGACTGGTCCTGCAAACAATGCCAGAGAGAAGAGGGACTGAAACTCGTGCTTTCTGATTGGTTCCTCACAAGGTGCTCAGGTATCACGCAGTCCTTTGGGGTCCTGAGTTTGCGCATGTCTTCTGGGGATTTTGCCTTTTGACACCTTCCTCCCAGCCCTGTTCTCCTACTCACTAAATGGAGAGCTGAGCAGGGGAGCAGCAGGAGGCAGCAGAAGCCAAGTCGAGCAGAGCAGAGGTGCAGAAGGAACTGAGGCAGAGGGCAGTGAGCCACCAGCTGACCCAGGCGGAAGCCACAGCCGGCTGTGCAGTGGGGCCCGCAAGGAAGAGGGCTTGGGGTCCACAGAGGCAGGGAGCCGGAGGCAGCTCCCTGAGCCTCCCTGAAGTCTAGTACTGAGCTGCCTACTTTGGCACAGGAAAGGTTTTGCTGGGGTGTGAAAAGGCGAAGACCGGGTTCCAACCTGTTTCCTACCTTGGGGATCACAGAGGCAGCAGTCTTAACTCCCATAGTGTAATGCCTTAGCTCAAGCTGCTGTGATACCATGAAATCCGGCGGCATAACTAGCAAACATTTGTTGTTCATCTTTCTGGAGGAGGAAGCCTGGGATCCAGGCACGAGCCGGGGTAAGGTCCCAGCGGGGGCGCCCTTCCCGGTTCAGAGGAGCCCTCCACTTGCCGACTGTCCTTGGCATCCCTTTCCGGAGCGCTCCTGCCTCAGGACCTTGTTGTCTCCCAAGGCTCTGCCTGCAGTGCCATCACTTTGGCGCTGCTGCTTCACCGTCCTCATGACAGCGGACAGCACCTCGGTGGTAACAGGGGCCCCCTACCCGTCCTTCTGTCTCTTGCAGCACAGTGTCAGTGTTTTGCAGATGGCAGCCCAGCGTGGCCACGCCTCCCTGGTCAGCTTTCTTCTCAGTGAGAACGCTAACCTGCTGCAGCGCTTGGGGGTGAGTCTGCTCCGCTGCCCGGGAGGCGGGCTGGGCTGGGCTGGGCTGGGCGGGAGAAACGCTCCACGGACGCTTATGGGGGCTGCGGTGGTTCATAAGGGAGGAATTCTTTCTGACTCCTTCTAGAGGCTGTTTTAATCTTGAGAAATAGAACCCAAGGGGATGATTCTTTAAAGTTATTGAAGTTCCTGAGCAAAATGAAATCTCTGTCTTTTCAATATTTGTGTTTGCTGCGATCAAACCTTCTCATGTGTCAGGAGGGGCCCTGACCCTTGTGGCAATCTCAACCATCTGGGAAAATGCAGAAGCTGCTATAAATGTGAAGAAGGGTGGTGGCTTTTCTCCCCCTCACTGAGTGATTATGTTTTTCTTTGAGGGCCAGCCCTTTATACTGAGGTAGGTTTTCTGAAGTTTGGATTGGCTCTGGTCAAATTAACAAAGGCCCTCTGTGCTAGAATTAGACAAGAGACATTCCTCTGCTTTCCAGTGTATTTTCATTTCTCCTGTGAGAATATGATTTCTGCTGATCCTGCTGAGCCGGTACTGTTTCTTATGTTAACTTGAGAGAAACAATGTGATTTGAACCCTGTCCGGTGGTTTTTGGAGCCTAGAGGCGGTGAAGTTGGCCCTGGTCCTACAGGCTCAGTCCAAGGCTGCTTCCTGTTTCTCAGGCGTAGCCCGGCCCCAGCAAGGTGGGTGGGCCTGGCAAGAGGGACGCTACTCATTTCTCTGAGAAGAGGGATGCTTCTTTTTACTGCTTGATGCCTCAAGGGAGAAGGTGGCCCAGTGAACAGAGGAGACCCACACAGCCTTGCCCTCAGGCTGCTCACCTCCCCTGGCACCATCTTCTCCACTCCAGGGTCCTCAGTGGCCTCTGGGCTGCTGGGCCTGCTGCCCTGTCTGTCCCGCTTCTCCTCCTGTGTGCTGGTGGAGCTCTGGCCTGCATGTTGCATTTCTCTTCCATCAATCTCCTCATCCTCTGGAGGAGGCTGGTGCAGAAGCTGGAGTCAGGAGAGCCTCTTCCTCGGTCCCTTTATTGAGCTGTGGGAAGTCACAGAGCTTTTCTGTGCCTTGTGTGGAAAGTGAGGATGTGGGACACAAGTCCTAGGGTGACTGTGAATGGGGCTTCTGGAAAGCTGGAGTTAACCTAGCTTGTAAGACAGAGCACCAGAGGCGTGTGTGTATGTGTGTGTGTGTGTGTGTGTGTGTGTGTGTGTGTGTGTGTGTTGAAGGAAGGTGCCGAACGTGCCCTGGGGACTCTTCCATCCCAGGATCCTCACCTTGCCGGCCTTCGCCACTTCTTCTCTGCCTCTTTCCCCTGCAGCTGCCTTCTCTCCTCCTGGAGACTGGGGCAGCTGGCTGAGCTGAGGCTCGGGGTGTCATGGAGGAAGTACACTTGGGCTGGGTTGGGAGGAGGTTCAGAGGCCTGGGAAGGGTGTGTGGCTGGCACGGCCTGACTTGTCCACAGAGAAGAAAGAGGGAGCTGGCTGTGAGAGGCTTGGTGGCCACATGTGACCACATGCTGTAGAGGTGGGAAAGCTCAACACAAGAACCTGCCCAGCATAAATGGGGACCCGAGTCCCACAAGGGTCCCCATGGTGGTGGACAGCTCCTGTACCTGGGAGGCCATCAGGAAATCCATATAGCAGCTGCTGAGATGGGCTGCTTTGAAGAAGCAGAATCTTTTAGATGTGAAATGTTTCTTTCTTTCTGCAGCCTAGCAAGTCCCCTCTTCATGTGGCAGTCAGCAACAACCACATGGCTGTTGTAAGCAGTTTGCTACGTGCACAGCATGACACTGATGTCTTAGATCAGGTAAGCAGGGAGATCAGACACAAGAGCTGTTTGCTTGGTTCAGCACAGGAGCTGTTTACGAGAGATGTGGTCTAGTTCAAGGTGCATTTTTACCCTTCGCCTACCCCTTTTCTTCAGTAACCTCCACTCACCCCCAGGCTCACTTTGTCTGTCTTTAGAGGCACAAGGTTCAGCCAGTGCTTGAAGAAATCCTTCACACTAGCAAACCTTTTTGAGAAACGTGTAACAGGCACTTTTGACAAACAGTAGCTCAGAGGTAAATGGCCAGGGGCTCCTTAAGTCAAAAGCCACTCCTGGTGTGAGCGCTTGTCCCTGTGGGGAGCCCTTCCCCACACAGAGGAGGCTGTGCTTCCACACCAGAGGTGCAGAAGCAGCAACCAGTGTCCTTCTTTGCCTGAAGCAGAGAGATCTGCTGGAGTAGAACAGTCCTCAGGAGTTCTGTCCATTGGGGCAAAATTGATGCATCATGGGAACCAGCGTCACTGGCTAGAAATGGGAAGGGACAAAATAGGGAACTGGCAGTGTTCCCTGCAGCCTGGCTGGGGCCGGGCTGCTCTTCCAGGATTGAGGTACTGGGCTCCTGTCTCACCTACCTCTTGCTCCATTTCCTCCTATGTAAACCCAGAAGCAGCCTCCAGCTCCAACCTCTGGGCTGATATCTGCCCAGAGCCAGTGGGGCCTGGATCTCCACTACTGTCCCTTCCCAAGGGATCCTCTCCCACTTTGTGTCTTTCACTAACCAAAAGTTGGGGACAGAGTCCTCTGATGATTGCATAAATTTACATATTTACCTCTTCTCATGCCCCCAAATCTTTCCTAATGGGCAAAACCTTTGCTAAATACACAGAGCCTTATGCTCATCTGTGATTTCGGTCTCCACGAAGCTGTCTTTAGGGAAGAGCTCCACTTTACAGAAGGCACATCCATTACACTTCCCAACCACTTATCATCTCAAGCTTTTTGGTTAGACCAAAAATGCACATATAAAGTACGAAAAATTCATATTTTATATATAAAATGCTTGTATAAAATAAGAACATAAATATGCTTTTAAAAAGCCCCACCTTATATGTAGAAAGATAACTTCTGTTAATCTTAGTTGCCTGTCTTCTACATTTATAACAGAATTTTCAACACATGATACAAGTATATAGCAGAAACCTGTAATCCCAGCACAGGAGGCTGCGGCAGGAGGACTGATGAGAGTCTGAGAGCAGCCTGAGCTACGCAGTGAGACCCTGGTGTCTGCCGTATTACACTTGTGCTGTGTTGTTTGGGTTTGCAGTACTATGTCTTGGATGATGAGCCCCAGATAGCAAGCTGCCACCTGCAGCTGGAGCCATCATAAATGCTTTTAGACAACCACACCAAGTCCCCCAGTGTTTGGCCCTGTGTGCTGGTGCAACAATCCGGGGCGACCCTGGGAGTTTGCTCCCCCTCTCTAGCTGAGGGTCTGGCCTTCATCGCGGCCACGGCTCCTTTCTGTCTTGAAGTCTGAGAAATGGCTTGACACCAGCCTTCCTTCCAGAGGGAGGTTCTGGTGAGTGGTTCTTAGGATTTCACATATTTCTTGTGAAACACTCACCCTCTTGATAGGAAGAGGATTGCTCCAGAAAGCAAGGAGGAGTCCTGGGCTCAGTCCTCGGCTCCTTTATGCGTCACAACATAGGAATCAAGATGATGATTAAAAGCAACTGCTAACCCCCTCCATCTAGACATTGTTGCTGCTTATGCTGTTCATCAACTTCCTTTTCTCCATGTCCATTTTAAAATTAAGCTCAGCTAGACGTAATGATGTTATCTTGTAAGGTTTTTAGTGTCTTATTGAATATGTTTTCACTTGTAAGAATGATAAAAATAATTATTTTGAAAATAATTTTTGAAATCATATTTTATTGTGGTAAAATAAGTGTAACATGAAAGTTACCATTTTAACTGTACAGTCCTGTGGCATTAAGTATATTCACATCGTGTTCACGTGGTAAGCAGTCATCACAAGTGTCCATCTGCAGAACCTGTGTGTGTGTGTGTGTGTGTTAATAGGTATTGAACCCAGGGCCTCAGGCATGCCAGGCGAATGCTCTTCTACTGGGCTACCCTCCCCTGCTTTTTTTTTTTCTTTTTTTGTATTTTTAGTACAAGGTCAACAGGGTTTCACTACACAGATCAGACTCATCTTAATTCTGCTTTCAGCCTCCCAAGAGCTGGGATTACAGGTGCTCCCATGCTTTTTAAAACATTTTATTTTGAGAGGAGGCCTCACTGAGTTGCTCAGGCTGCCCTCTGATGTGTGATCCACCTGCTCGTGTTGGTTACTTTTCTCTGCTTGCTGAGACAAAATACCTGACTCTCAAAGTTAAGGAAGGAGAGGTTTCTTTAGCTCACAGTTGTGGTGGTTTCGGTCCATGCTCAGCTGGCTCCAAGGCAGGGTGGTGCGGCGCAGGGCAGCCGTTCATGGCAGCAGGAGCAACAGAGCCAAAAAGGAGCAGGAGCAAGCCTCTTCCTTCCCCGTGTCATAAGCAGGCTACCTCCCTTGGGCGGTGTAGCACTCCCATCATCTCCCTGCCCTCCTCTTGCCCAGGCTCAAGATGTCCACAAAATGAGGACCCTGGCCCCCTCTAAGTCACTTAGTTAAACTTCTAAATTTCTCAGGTTTAGAATTAACCTTTATGGTGCGTCTGAGACGCCCCAAAGTTAGGACCTTTCCTTGCACTCTTGAGGCACCGGCGGTGGCTCTGCAGCTGTCATCATGCCACAGAATGAATATATTGAATTACATCGTAAACGCTATGGGTACCGCTTGGATTACCATGAGAAAAAGAGAAAAAAGGAAAGTCGAGAGGCTCATGAACGTTCAAAGAAGGCAAAAAAAATGATTGGCCTGAAGGCTAAGCTCTACCACAAACAGCGCCATGCAGAGAAAATACAAATGAAGAAGACTATCAAAATGCATGAAAAGAGAAACACCAAGCAAAAGAATGATGAAAAGACTCCCCAAGGAGCAGTACCTGCCTACCTGCTGGACAGAGAAGGACAGTCTCGTGCAAAAGTACTTTCCAACATGATTAAACAGAAACGGAAAGAAAAGGCGGGAAAATGGGAAGTTCCTCTGCCCAAAGTTCGTGCCCAAGGAGAAACAGAAGTATTAAAAGTTATTCGAACTGCAAAGAGAAAAAAGAAGGCATGGAAGAGGATGGTTACTAAAGTCTGCTTTGTTGGAGATGGTTTTACAAGAAAACCACCTAAATATGAAAGATTCATTAGGCCAATGGGCTTACGTTTGAAGAAGGCCCATGTAACACATCCTGAACTGAAAGCCACCTTTTGCCTGCCAATATTTGGTGTGAAAAAGAATCCTTCATCGCCACTGTATACAACTTTGGGTGTGATTACCAAAGGAACAGTGATTGAGGTGAACGTGAGCGAGTTGGGCCTTCTGACGCAAGGGGGCAAGGTTATCTGGGGTAAATATGCTCAGGTAACCAACAATCCTGAAAATGATGGATGCATCAATGCAGTCTTACTAGTTTGACAAATGTTTCATACAGTAACTTCTTACACTTCAATTGAAGACTACAGACCAATCAGGAAAACCGTAACTGGAATACTGCTCAACTGTCATGACTACGTTCATCAAGAAAGCTATTTATTAAATTGTAGAAAGCTATTTATTAAATTGTAGAAACAGAAAAAAAAAAAAAAGAATTAACCTTTACACTGTCCCAGTCCCCTAAGAAGCTAGGATTACAGGGTCTCTTGATTACTTAGGTAGTCTCTGAGACAGCAGGATGGACACCTGAAGTTAAACGAGGAAAGCTTTATTTGGCCCACAGTTTGTGGAGGTTTTGGTCCTTAATCAGCTGGCTCCAAGGTCAGGTGGCCTGGCATAGGGCATTGCAGAAGAGAAACAGCTCATGGTGGGCAGAAAGTAGCAAAGTAAATAAGGGAGAAGTCCAGCCTCGTTCTGGCCCTTATATTGTATCCAGGCTATTGGGACTAGGGCAGTGCCAAAGTCATCAGTGGACTGGTTCAGTAATCGCCCACTTCTACTCCCCACACTCTTAATCCTAGAATTGCAACATGAATCCGTCATGCATTCTGGATCCAGCCACCTGGATACAGACGTGGCATAACTGATCTCATGTCCCCTTGCACAACACGGGAAAAAGTCCCTCCTGTGACTGCGTGAGGCTTTGGGGGAGATCTAGACAGAGCTGTGACACAGGTGCACATCACTGCACCCAGCCAGTCCTTAATCACTGATGCATCCTCTCAAACTGAGAGCCCAGCCTCACTAATCCAGCCACCACTCTGTTGCCTGTATTACTCTAGGTATCTCATAAT